GGGACTTTAACAATGAGATGTATAATTCTATTGTATCATTATCATCATCATCATCATGTAGATGTATTTCGTGAAGATACTTGGACCTCACTGGAGACCAAATTGTTAAACTTTGTATTACTTTTTTTTTTTTTTTTATATTATGTGACTGATAAATGATAGGCCTTCATGGACGAGTACCGGAAGTGGGTCAGTGCAGGTCAGTCCAGTAGGTGTTCAAATCTACGGAAATTAGGGGAGGTATCAGACGCTACGAATAAAAAAACAGGGCACTTATCCTTATCCTTATCCTTATCCTTATCCTTATCCTTATCCTTATTATCCTTATCCTTATCCTTTCCTTATCCTCAGTCAAGGGCCTCCGAGTAAGTACAATGGTAAAATATTGGCTTCTCACCCAAGGGGCCGGAGGTTCGCGCCCGCCCGCCCAGGCACGAGAAGTTGCAATTGTCGCCTGGAGGTTACCGCTGTGGCTGGGCCCAATGGGGGGGGGGGGGGGAATGAGCTCTGTCGCGTCAACACTAGCTGACGGCATATTTATTATCATTATCATTATTGTCGTTGTTGTTGTTATTATTTCTATTATTATTATTGTATTATTATTACTATTGTTGTTGTGTTATTATTATTTTCATTATTATTATCATGATCGCCATTATTACTATCATGATTATTGCCATAAATATCAGTTATTTTTATTATTGTTATTATCACTGTTATCATTATCACAATTATCATGATTATGCTAGTTATTATTACCATTTTCAAAAAGAATTAGCAACATCTTCACCATTATAATAATGATATCCATTATTCATCAGGCATTTGTTGCGGTATAAATATACAAATCAAGAAAATATACCTTTTTCTCCTTCCTCGTACAGTGACTCTAAAGTTACGAGAAAACGTCGTGTACATAAGAGCGGTTTTCGGATTTCAGAGAGTGGAATCTGCCCTCTAACTTCTTCTGCGCTGATCCGTCGCTTCATTTTGGCATTGACATTAATTAGCCGTCTATTGAAAAAAGTTTGTTCCGTCCAGATGGCTTTTATTCACTGATCCGTCGAAGTTTTAAAACGGTTCCTTGTACACAGTGGGAATGAGGAAGTATCTATTCCTGTGGGGGAGGAAGTGTAGAGGAAGTGTTGTGCCTGAGAAGTTGTGAGACTCAGTATAAAGGAAGTGTTGTGTTATGAGAAGTTATGAGACTCAGTGTAGAGGAAGTGCTGTACCTGGGAATTTATGAGACTCAGTGTAGAGGAAGTGTTGTGCCTTAGAAGTTGTGAGACTCATGTAGAGGAAGTGTTGTGCGTTGTGAGACTCAGTGTAGAGGAAGTAGTTGTGAGACTCAGTGTAGAGGAAGTGTTGTGCCTTAAAAGTTGTGAGACTCAGTGTAGAGGGAAGTGGTCCTTTATGAGACTCAGTGTAGAGGAAGTGTTGTGCCTTAGAAGTTATGAGACTCAGTGTAGAGGAAGTGTTGTGTTGTCTTAGAAGTTATGAGACTCAGTGTAGAGGAAGTGTTGTGCCTTAGAAGTTATGAGACTCAGTGTAGAGGAAGTGTTGTGTTGTGCCTGAGAAGTTATGAGACTCAGTGTAGAGGAAGTGTTGTGCCTGAGAAGTTGACTCAGTGTAAAGGAAAGTTTGTGCCTTAGAAGTTATGAGACTCAGTGTTAGAGTGAAGTGTTGAAGTTATGAGACTCAGTGTAGAGGAAGTGTTGTGCTGAGAAGTTATGAGACTCCTGTAGAGGAAGTGTTGTGCCTGAGAAGTTATGAGACTCAGTGTAGAGGAAGTGTTGTGCCTGAGAAGTTGTGAGACTCAGTGTAGAGGAAGTGTTGTGTCTGAGAAGTTATGAGACTCAGTGTAGAGGAATGTGTGTTGTGTTGTTATGAGACTCAGTGTAGAGGAAGTGTTGTTCCTAAGAAGTTATGAGACTCACTGTAGAGGAAGTGTTGTGTTGTTCCTGAGAAGTTATGAGACTCAGTGTAGAGGAAGTGTGTGTCTGAGAAGTTATGAACTCAGTGTAGAGGAAGTGTTGTGCCTGAGAAGTTATGAGACTCAGTGTAGAGGAAGTGTTGTGTCTGAGAAGTATGAGACTCAGTGGAGGAAGTGTGTGTTGGAGAATGAGACTCAGTGTAGAGGAAGTGTTGTGTCTGAGAAGTTGTGAGTGTAGAGGAAGTGTTGTGTGTGAAGTGAGACTCACTGTAGATGAAGTGTTGTGCCTGAGAAGTTGTGAGACTCAGTGTAGAGGAAGTGTCACGACTAAGAAGTTATGAGAGGAAGTGTTGTGTTGTGCCTGAGAAGTTGTGAGACTCAGTGTAGAGGAAGTGTTGTGTCTGAGAAGTTATGAGACTCAGTGTAGAGGAAGTGTTGTGTCTGAGAAGTTATGAGACTCAGTGTAGAGGAAGTGTTGAAGTTATAGTGTAGAGGAAGTGCTGTGCCTGGAAAGATATGAGATTCGTGTAGAGGAAGTGTTATGTTGTCTTAGAAGTTTGAGACTCAGTGTAGAGGAAGTGTTGTGCTGAGAAGCTATGAGACTCAGTGTAGAGGAAGTGTTGTGTTGTCTTAGAAGTTATGAGACTCAGTGTAGAGGAAGTGTTGTGCCTTAGAAGTTATGAGACTCAGTGTAGAGGAAGTGTTGTTGCCTAGAAGTTATGAGACCAGTGTGAGGAAGTGCTGTCTAAGAAGTTATGAGACTCAGTGGAGAGGAAGTGTTGTGCCTGAGAAGTTGTGAGACTCACTGTAGTGGAAGTGTTGTACCTGGGAAGTTATGAGACTCACTGTAGAGGTAGTGTTGTGTTGTGTCCAAGAGGTTATGAGAGGAAGTGTAGGAGGATGTGTGTGTTGTGTCTAAGAAGTTATGAGAGGAAGTGTAGAGGAAGTGTTGTGCCTAAGAAGTTATGAGACTCAGTGTAGAGGAAGTGTTGTGCCTGAGAAGTTATGAGACTCAGTGGAGAGGAAGTGTTGTGCCTAAGAAGTTATGAGACTCAGTGTAGAAGAAGTGTTGTGCCTGAGAAGTTATGAGACTCAGTGTAGAAGAAGTGTTGTGTCTGAGAAGTTATGAGACCGTGTAGAAGAGTGTTGTGCCTGAGAAGTTATGAGACTCAGTGTAGAAGAAGTGTTGTGTCTGAGAAGTTATGAGACTCATTATTGCGGAAGTGTTGTGCCTGGAAAGATATGAGATTCAGTGTAGAGGAAGTGTTGTGTTGTGCCTGAGAAGTTATGAGACTCAGTGTAGAGGAAGTGTTGTGCCTTAGAAGTTATGAGACTCACTGTAGAGGAAGTGTTGTGCCTGAGAAGTTATGATGCTCTTCCCTTCTCCACTGACAACTTTCTCTTGAAAAATTTCGTAAGAACATTTGTCCAAAGCAACGCATGAGGATTTGAGTGTGGAGGCTCAGCGCTGAAAGGAGGTTTCCTCATATACACGCAGAAAGAGATCTTGTGAGATTTAAGATTTCTGTACAATGCTGAACAAGACTGAGTTGGAGGCATGGGATATTTTCAGAATAATTTATGCACTTTTTTATTATCTTTATTTTATCTGTTTACTTATTGTTGTTATTATTCATTATTATTACTTTTCTTCTTCTTCATTTTTGACGAGATCTTCTCATTTTTTATTATCTTTTATCTATTTACTTATTGTTATTATTATTCATTATTATTTTTCTTCTTCTTCATTTTTGACGAGATCTTCGTAATCTGAAAATTATATGAAAAGTCTTTTAATACTTCTATGGAATTGTGGATTTCTAAGGTTCCGTTTCTTTTTTTTTTTCTTTTTTTTCTTTCTTTCTTTCTTTTCTTTTTCTTTTTTTTTTCAACCATTGCGAAGAACACAACGAACAAAGGAAAAAAACGCCTTGATCTGAATGCTTACAAGGATTTTATAATTGAGACAACCGATGGAGTTATGCAATTATTTACCTGAAATTAGACACCTCATAAAGACCAAAGTTTAATCGTTTTTATAATTCTCTCATTATACTATGTTATTGCAATATCCTGTACACGGGAATCATAACTCATGTATATGTCTCGTTATTACACTTTATATCCGGACGGAAAACATGTAAATAACACACGAAAAATGATGGCTGCCTCATAAGCTTTAATTAATGTAAAACGGAAATTGTAATTACCTCTCTTGAGTTATGGCAACACCAGAATAAAGATGATTATGTCAATTATGATAATTGTTATCTTTCGCTACTGATACGATTCAACTGTTTTTATTATTATTGTTAAGTATTATTGTTATAATCTTCAAATTATCTTCGTCATCCAAATCGTAATAATTATTATCGTTATCACCATCATCATCACATGCCCATCCTCCTACTCGTCCTTACCACCATCATCATCGTTGTCTTCATCATCACCATACCCATCGTCATCATCACCATCCTCATCATCAGCATCATCGTCATCATCATAATCATAAAACATCATCCTCACCACCGTCATCATCACCATCATCATCGGAGTCATCACCATCCTCATCATCATCATCATCCTCATCCTCCTACTTCCTCCTGATCATCATTATCGCTATCATCATCATCATCATAGCCACCATCATCATCGTCATCATCACCATCGTCATCATCCTCATCTCATCCTCTTACTGATCATCATCATATCAGCATCGTCATCGTCATCACCATCATCATCATCATCCTCACCATCATCATCATCGTCCTTATCCCCTAGTTCTTATCATTCATATTTTCGTTACTTCATCATCATCATCATCATCATCAATTACCGAATTATCATTTACATGACTACCCTAACCATTATATTTTTTCTCTTTTCTTCATACGGAATATATAATGATGATAATAACAACAACAATGATGATGATGATGATGATGAATGATGATGATGATGATGATGATGATGATGATGATGATGAATGATGATGACATGATGATGATGATGAATGATGAATGATGATGATGATGATGATAATGATGATGATAATGATAATGATATA